GTAGGGCTTACCCCTAGACACGTCAGATCTGCAAATGAAGTGAAGTGAAGGGTGACTCCCTCACTGTAAACACTGTTAGTCATAATTTGGGAATTAGTCTCCTAAATTGTACCCTCGAAAGGAACATCACAAAACATAAAAGATAGAATGTGCCAAATTTTACAAATGATGAGGCCCAAAATTTTCTTTATCTGTGATTAGTTACTTTCAAAAATCTCTTTTATGATACTTAGGGAAGGATTTGGTCATGTAAACAAGCTAAGAGTATGATAACTTTATGATGAATATGTAAAAATTGCCAATGAGGAAGGGTACTTAAGTTGTGTGCTATCTGCTGGTGTACAGGAAGAGTGAGAGAGTGAGAATGAGAGAGAGTGAGTGAGTGAGTGAGTGAGTGAGTGAGTGAATGAATGAGTGAATGAGTGAGTGAGCGTGCGTGCTTGCGTGTGTGTGTGTTTGTTTTTTGTGAGAGGAATTATGTAGATGCTTTCCAAGGAGCTAGGGATGCTATAGGAAAATTGCCTCTGTGATGTCATCAAATCTTCATGCATTCTTCCCAAAATTGATATTATTGCAGCATGGCATTACTTTAGGGAGGGATGTCATCAAAACCACTAACCATGTTAATTTCATATGTTAATTAATTTCAACATACGATACTAGAGAAGGTTTTGTAATAACTGGTTTGAATAGCTGGAAGAAATATAGGAAATCAAGATATATAATATTATTGATAGAAACATACCAGTAACTAATTCAGTCAATTTCATTTCTACCTTTAAATTGCACACAGGTGGGGAGAGGTATTCCAAGGCCCAGTCCAGGTACGACAAGGAATGGTCAACCAGTATCTACCCCGTAAAAGATGCTCGGTTGCTGCACATCACTCTGGACACACAGCGCATCATGGAGCTGCAGAGGGCCATCAAGGAGAGTCATGACATGTGAGTTTCATTTGTAGATTTAGTGAAATACTTTATGAAGGAGATGAGTTGGAGTAATTTTATTGACTTGTATTACTTATGGCTTTAATTATGCACACAGAAAAGTATTATGTATAAACATGCATCAAAACACACACAAAATTACTCATACTTCCTATCACATCCTTATTCAGTCTATCCCACACATTAATCACCATCTAATTATTATAGGATTGCTGATGCAGAGGAGAAACTAAAGCAAAACAAAACAGAAGAACACAAATTTTCAAAGCAGCTTGAGATCCTGCGTAATGAGAAGAGAGTCCTCCTCTGTCACAAAGATGAAAGGTAAGACGTCAGACTCTGAAACCTGTCCAGATAACAGCGTGTGTGCTGTGACTCTCTCATCCATTATTTTGTGAATCTGATGTGATGAAAGTGGCGAGTCATCCTTACACTTAACCCTTAAGAATCACATCTCAGCTACCTCACTGTAGAGGAGTGTCAGAGGGAAGAGAGGACATAAAAATATTAAGTATAATATTGTTAGACTGGTACATTGTATATTGTGTTATTTGATATTATGTGTTTAAAGGTGGTTCAGACCATTTGATCTATTAAATATTTTGTATATTTTAGTTTCCTTCTATAACATAAGAATCAATATCTTAGAGATAGAGTGCATTAACATGAAAATATTGATTGACTAGTCATTTAATAAATGTACTGTTTGACAATTGGTCTGAGCCTTTAGATGCCCATACCTTCATTTCAAGGCTGTTCATGAGTTGTGTTGAAGAGATTTTAACCCATTGCTGATGGGCAAAATGAATAAAAAATGGGGAAAATGGTGTGCTAATTTTTGATATTTTTTTGTGAAATGTCCCTTCACTGAGATGGCTCTGCCTTATCTGATTTCACCTTTCCTTGAATTGGCGGGAAAATGTATTTTTTACTAGTGCTATGAATATCAATGGTGTTATTTTTGTTATAAACATTATAATTACTATAATGTTATAAACATCAGTACCAGCAAAATAAGATAACGTAAAATATTTTCGAAAATTAAAGAAAAGGGTGAACAAGCAAGACAGGCAGTACTTGTAATTGGCTCATTGGTGGTTTAGTACAAGTGTAGCCATCTATGTGTAAAAACAATCAAACCAGTAAACTCTCAGTGGGCATGGCATGGCATGCCCGTCGGCAAAGGGTTAAAATATGTGGTGTAACTCTGATGCAGAAAATGTTCAGAAACAGCTTTCATGGTCAGAAATTAACATAAGAACTAATTTTTCACTAGTGCTATGAAAATCGATGGTGTTATTTTTATCATAAACATTATAATTTTTATAATGTTTTTTAACATTAGTAACAGCAAAATAAGATTAAGTAAAATATTTTGTAAATCAAAGAAACGGGTAAACGGGCGATGACGGGCGGTACTCATAGTTGGCTCATTGGTGATTTAGTACAAGTGTTGCCATCAATGCGTAAAAACAATCAAACAAGTACTCACGGTGGGCATAGCACGTACGTACACGTCATACCCGGCGGCATTGGGTTAAAATCACATTTTGACCTTTTATGGATTTATGCAGGAAGCAGATGGAACAGCGTATTGCCAGTAAGAAGAACAAGATTGCGCGACATGAAGAGAGCTCCATCAACCTGGAGGCTGAGAAGGCTGAAATGACCAAAAAGATCAAGGTAAAACTGTTAGAAGTATCTTAGCTTGAATTTATCAGTATAGTTATAGCTTAGCTCAAATTTGTCTGTATAATTATAGCTTTTGTTGATTTTATTGATAGAATTATTATTATTTTACATTTTGTTTTATGAATACTATTTTCTAGCTTGTCCATAATTTTTTCTTTGCTTTTTTTATTGCTTGTAAGTTTATTTTGACTGGTTGAAAATGCTTTATCATTTATTGTGAAGTGTAAGGTATAGCACAGTTATGGTAATGTTGGAATGTTCCAGGTTCCAGATGATGGTCAAAATGTTTATTTTCAGAATAAAAGATTATATTACAATACCACACTGATTTCTTCTTCTTCCTCAGCTTCTTTTTTTTCTTCTTCTTTTCCTTCTCCTTCTTCTCCTTCTCCTCCTCCTCCTCCTCCTCCTCCTCCTCCTCCTCCTCCTCCCCCTCCCCCTCCCCCTCCCCCTCCCCTCCTCCTCCTCCTTCTCCTCCTCCTCCTCCTCCTCCTCCTCTTCCTCCTCCTCCTCCTCTGTTTTCTTCTCTCTTTTCTTTCTTCTCTCTTTTCTTTCTTCTCTTCTTTCTTCTTTCTTCTTCCTTTTCTTTTTTCTTTCATCTTCTCTTCATTCTTCTTCTCTTTCTCTTTCTTTTTCTCCTTCTTCACCTTCTTCTTATCCTCCTCCTCCTTCTTCTTCTTCTCCTTCTCCTCCTCCTCCTCCTTCTCCTTCTCCTTCTCTTTTTCATTCTCCATCTTCTTCTTCTTCTCCTTCTCCTCCTTTTTCTCCTTCTCCTTACTCTCCTTCTTCTCCTTTTTCTCTTTCTTCTCCTTTTTCTCTTTCTTCTCCTTTTTCTCCTTCTTCACCTTTTTCTCCTTCTTCTCCTTCTTCTTCATCTCCTCCTCCTCCTCCTCCTCCCCCTCTGCCTCCTCCTCCTCCTTCTCCTCCTCCTCCTCCTCCTCCTCCTTCTCCTTTTTTCTTTTCTTTTTTCTTCTTCTCCTTCTCCTTCCCCTTTTCCTTTTCCTTTTCCTCCTCCTCCTCCTCCTCCTCCTCCTCCTCCTCCTCCTCCTCCTCCTCCTCCTCCTCCTCCTCCTTTTTTCTTTTCTTTTTTCTTCTTCTTCTTCTCCTTCTCCTTCCCCTTTTCCTTTTCCTTTTCCTCCTCCTCCTTCTTCTTTTTCTTTGTCTTTGTCTTTGTCTTTGTCTTTGTCTTTGTCTTTGTCTCCCTCCTCCTCCTCCTCCTCCTCCTCCTCCTCCTCCTCCTCCTCCTCCTCCTCCTCCTCCTCCTCCTCCTCCTCCTCCTCCTCCTCCTCTTCCTCCTCCTCTTCCTCCTCCTCTTCCTTCTCCTCTTCCTTCTCCTCTTCCTTCTCCTTTTCCTTCTCCTCTTCACCAGACTCAGCACCATTTATAAAAAGAGAGACAGAAAATAAATGAAATCTTTGTCTCCCTTTTGCGTAGGAAACAATTAGCACGATGATAGGCATCATGACTGAGCAGAAGAAGACGATGGAGGTGCTGGCTGAGGAGGCAGTGGAGCACTTCAGGCTAGTGACACAGGCAGCTGTCACAAGAACCTCCTTGCAGACACTTGAGGAAGACTTAAGCTCATCTAAACAGGCAATTGACACCATGAAGGTATGTAAAGGGTGTGTAGGAGAATGGGTGGATGTAGTTGTGCATGTGTTTCTTTTCTTTGTCTTTATCTAGGACTATATTCTCCTCTTTTGAAGTCTTTGTATATTTATATCTATCATTATCTCTCATTGGTTTCTATCTGTAGGTCCAACATGAAAAAATGAAACTTGAGCATACTACAGCAAAAGCAGATGCCACTTCAACATATGAGGGACTCCTAACTGCCCTTGGTGTCAGAAACCACAAAGAAGTAACAGATGAGGTCAGTGTTTTTTTTTTTTTTTTTGTAAAAACATAGATGAGCTTGATTTCTTAAAAAGAAAAAATTGTGTTGAATTTGTATTTACATGTTTGGTCAAATGTGAATAGATGCATATATGCATATATATATATATATATATATATATATATATATATATATATATATATATATATATATATATATATATATATATATATATATTTCCTCTTAATTATTGACACTCTTTTATCCAGATTAGGGAAAGGTATAGAAATTCTAACCTGGAGGAAACAGAGCAGGAATTGCATCAGTTAGAGGCCCACCGAGACTGCCTCATCACAGCAAATGACAGCGTTAGTCACTGAGATGTATTTTTGTAGTTCTTCACTTCTCTTTACATGTCAGAAATATTCATATTTATCCAATAGGCTGCACAATAGTTCCATTCCTCTTTTGTCTGGCAGTGGTTTACACATGTTATGAATAAGAACAGCCATTATCATCATTAT